TAATTACGTAAGTTTTTATGTATAGGTTGTACTACCAGTATCTAATAAATTCATAAACTGAATTAAGCTCTTGACTTGTTACGCCCACCTGTAAAATATATTCCATTCAAATACGTATACAAAACAGTGATTATTATTAATAAGTCCACGAGTCTATTTGGAATTTCCCCGGATACAATTTTAATGTTAATTTCATCATCACATGATCGAGGAGCCAAAGATGTCACGAGTGTCACGAAATACTTTTCATCACCCTTTTGTTTTTATGTTAATGTCGTTTGTTCTTTTTAAGAATCCTAGGTGGAACATGTTTATAAAAAATGCAAATGTGTATAATATTTTCAAGGTTTACCCAGTTTTACATATTTGGAATTTACGGATTCACAGGCGACCTTTTTATTATAATTCGCTAATTTATTGCCGAGATTTTTTATATAATTAACATAGTTTTATTGTTTAAACCAAATTTTAATTAGAAACAAGTATTTTAATTAGTCATATAATATGACTACTATACCTACTATCAAGTTATGAAGAATAGAAGGTATATTCTCGCGAACAAAAATTTGTTTGACGCGTGACGTCACGTGGAGAGTTGTTTAACTGGTTCACTAATGAAGTTAATAGGTATTACTTATGACTATACGTATCTAGGGAATAAAAAATAATTTCACAATAATTACATGCATTTCATATTACCAACATTATTCGGTAATTCTGATATAGGTTTTTAGAATTTTTCTTCGATTTTGACCATTATTTTATTACTCTTTTGTCTGTTTTGAAAAAAATTAAGCATTTTTGGTGTTAAATATATGTTTACATCCGCAAGCTTCAACCCATTTTTGTGTATTTTCATTACTTGAAAAATGAGGAAATGTACTTATATTCCGTACAGTTCGTACGGCATTTGTTGAAATAGAATTCCAAGAAGGCTCCTGCGTCACTTTTTTTTAATTAACCGCATTCGACACCCGAGGCAGAAAGACACTGGCGGCGGCGGCGCGGCGTTCACTGTAGCAGCTTGCAGTGTATACTATATTTTGCAGATACGAAGGCATGTTTCTTCGGTTGTTTTTTTGGAATTCTACCTCCACAAATATTGTACGGACTATGGTATATGGCATTAATATTGTTTCTTTAAAATGCCTACTTTTAAAATATTATGCCAAAAGGCTTATAATGAAGGTATACAGAAATTTTTATCTACACTTTTCTCAAAACGGGTTGTATCTACAGATTGGAAACATTTATTTAGCTACGTCAAAATTGAAGGTGTGTTATTATTTTTTGTTTATAGTAAAAAGTAAAAAACAACTCGTAAAACTGCAAATAAATAAATAAGTACATATCAACTTTAACACCCAGTATCTTCAACATTTTGTTGACATGATGTGTAATATATCTAAATATTAAATTTTGATTATAATCCACAGTTAAATGTTGTACCATTAGGTACATATTACTCTATAGGTAGGTATATATTTCCATTATAATGTTTTATCTGTACTTTATTATTCTAAATTTTAAATATTTGTTAATGAATATTAAGTGTATCTCATATTCGAACAAGTCCCATTAAGGGAGAAGTTATATTTATACAAAGAAAACCTGCCTGACTACATTACAGTCTTTAATAAACTGCGAAATGTTTTCTTCTTATGAGCAATTAAATCAGCATCACCTCATTCATAAAACATTAAGTTTTATGGAAACCCGTCCTTAATCTACCATTAATTTTTATGGCAGTTCAGTGGCGGATCTAAATACTTATCTTGTCCACGTTTTATAGCTATAATTAAAACGAGTGAATCACAATTTTTAACCTGAAGATGTAACCATTTAAATGTAAATGTAACAAGGCCCATTATTGAGCATTAAACAAGTTTTTGAAGCAGGAGATGTCTATACCTTCTTTACCTGCAAGTATTCTAAACGTTCCTGTAGTATAGATAGTGACAAAATGACAAAATTTAACTAAAAATCGATATTACCTATATTGCCTAATGCTATTCATTGGTGGTATAATTTTAGTTTTTTTTTGTTTCATCTGAATATTGCATATGTGACAAAAAAAATTGATTAAACAAACCCTTACATCAAAAGGAGGTTATTTTTATGACACTGTACTTATATCTGCCAAAAAATAAATAAGTTACAGCCATTTATCACATTTAAGCGCATTTATATACTAAGTAATTTATATTTAAAATACTTTGCCACAGAAGTATTTTGTTTTTAAGTATTTTAAAATACTTTTGTATTAGTATTTTGTAATTTTTATTTTTAATACATTTTGAAAGTATTTTGCCCAGCTCTGGGCTCTATATTAGGCACTTTTGTTAGTTAACATCTCGAAAATCAATCCCTTTTCGTTGTCAAAACTAGCAATTACGCTTTTTTTGTTACCTAGTTTTAGCTTTTAGCTTTATGACTATTTTAGGTTGGTCTATTTCTGCTACCATGGTTAAACACTGATGCCAGGAGATGAGCAACATGAAAATTTTGCCGATCCCCTACTTTTTCTTAGTGTAGAGATCTTTTACTTGCCTAACATTGTTTAGACAAGGAACCAACCATTTTACATCCTTTTCGAGGGGTTGGTTCCTATATAGACCTCACCTAAATGTGTATAGCTTCTGTGAATACACCGATAGGCCACTAGAAGATGGACGAGCATCGCGAGCCTTCCTCGGATGGTCACCCATCCTAGTACTAACCGCCATCAGCGGTACTTGATTTTTCATATAAACGATTGTTATCTAATTAAAATAGAAACGTCATTCCTAATTTTGAAAATGATACCAGGATAATTTTCGAAACATTAACTAATTACTATTTTTTATTCGTTTCCACTTTTCAGCGTGAGATTTTTGGTTGGGCAAAAATTGTTTCATAAAAATGACTGCTTTTTGTGAATAAAAAATTGATTTTGCAGTATAAATATTAAAAGTAAATAAGATATTCCCAAAAATTCCCAATGAATTTAAACTAGTTTAATTTATTTTCGGAAAATATACAAATTGTTTAACTAATTCTATCATTTCTAATTTCTTGATGAAATTATTGAAGCTACGATAATGTTCATCACCATTTTTATATTAGCTGTACCAATGCAATGTAATAAAAAAATATAATAATTTCTTGAATAGGCCATAAATTGGAAATATAAAATGAATGTAAATTAAAGTAAATTTTGAATATGACGCATTCAGACAAATATTTGATCATATTCTGAAGGTGCTAATATACATTTTAGTCAAATATCCGGCAAACAAATTATATGTATATAACAGTTCAATAAGCATTATACCGAGAAGGATAATCGACTTTAAAAATAAGACAACACTGACTAACCAGTGTCGAAAAAATATTAGCTTAAATCTACATACTATTAGACTCATTATATAAAAACCCGTTGACAAGGTAAACCCATATGATTTCATGTTGTATAACCTTGTAAGATTTCATCTCGTAATTCTCACATAGGATGCAGGATGATGTCACTGGCTTTCCTAGTCACTTAATATTAACTGAAATTTGATAAACTATTAACCTTTGATTTAAATATATAACTGGATAATGCATTTAAAAGACTAAATATTTTTGTTCATATAATCGAATTACTTTGTGTATTGATAATAAAATTTCCATATAACTGTTATCCTTTATAATAATATTAATATTATTTTCACAAATTACTTTTTTGTATTAAATTTTAAAATATGCCAATATAAGTGACATGAATTAATTGTCCCATTTTGTAAGACCAATTAAAAAATATATAAATTTATTTCGAAATACTTGTTAGGTTAGAACTATGTCTTTATAATATTATTTTGAATGCATTTTGAAAGTATAATAAATGATGTACCTAATAAAATTGCAATTTATGTAATTGTTTAAACAATGTGGTTGTCAAATTTCAATATAAGTATTAATTAGTTGCCCACCTACTGTATTTCTAAAAATATCAGTTACAAGCTGACTTAAGATTATAATGTTAAGAATAAATGATATAGCGTAGTAATTGATGTCTTAATTTAAGTATTGCAATATTTCAGTTGGCTGTAATTTTTTCAACAACAGTTTTGTTCATCTAAACAAATATTAAGAAATTGATTGTTGTTGTTGTAAATAGGTATTTATTGGTACTTTGAATACAATTTTGTGTCGAAATATGTAATTAGCATACTATATCTACGTACAGGGTGAAATATAATACCTGCGAAAATATTGGCGTTCCAGTGAGTACGTAGGTATTCAAAATTAATGAAAACCTTACATAGAAGGTGATTATTTCAATGCTATTATTATATGATTTCAAAAGTAAACATATTATGACAGTTTTAGTTATATCTATCCCCAATACTACACTCCTGTATTTAAAAAAATATATATGTAGTATGCATATACGCATTTGTAAACAATAATTAAATTAACAAAAAGACTTTTACTTTAATATCCTATATCTCTGATACGATGTCTGTCACTAACAGCCAAGCATTTTTAATACACCCTATATAAAAACATTTCCTACAAAATATACCTACCTATACCTGCATAATAACCTTCAGACATGCTACTTTGTTGTTTAGTATATTTAAGAAATAAAAAGAAGTTATATATTTTTTTATAAATAAGGAAAACTATTAAGTACTTACTTTGCTAAGTTGAATTAAAAAATTATGCCACACTGTCGTAAAATATATATGTAAAAACATATTTAATTAGATACACATAATAAAATCTATATTTCTGATAAAGTACAAATTGTAAACTAACAGCGACAATAATATAATAAACAGTTGTTTCAGAAAAAAGAAAAATAGAAACGGACTTGGCTTTAATTCATAAATAAATATATTTATTACCTTTATTTTGTAACTTACTACTTACTAGAGTATAAATAAATAAGTAATAGTGCTTTAACTTGTGTACCTTATGGAAACACTTGACAATAATGTATTAACAAATAAATCTAATATTTCTGTACTTACTTGCAGCGAAGAACGCCAAAACGGCAGCAGCGGCCAAGGTAAGGAACTTGTACATTTTTGAAATTCGTAATACGAAAAAACTACAAACTAACTAAACGGCAATGTCTTGCGTACTGGCGGAACCTTGTTTGGTTCAAATATTTATGTAAGTAGACGCGGATCAACTTATGTACTAGAGATCATTAATGTAGGGAACCCGTTCTTAAGCGGCGATTGCTTACATGAGCGTCGAGATAAGGTGGGAACGTTTACTGTTTTATTTTTATAACTAACTATTCCATAATAATTTTCGTTCGTAAACACTACTTAATATTAATTTGCCTCTTTGGCACAGGATATGATGGAAATTATTTTGTCTTGTCGGAATTTAATATCATTTAGTGCTAGTCTATGTTGGTATTTAAATTACACATTTATTAGATCTTTTTCAAATATATTTCAGAAGACGTCAATTATATTTCGGTTTAGCTAATTTTATTTCAACAAACGTAATTTGAATTTCAGGTTAGTCATATGTTTTTCAGAAAATATTTATTGCGTTTCAGAAGCATTTCAGAAAAAAATCAAATCAAATTATGGTATTTAAAATTATACCAACAAACGTTAATATAAAGTTAATTATTCCACTGTTATGGCCCGTATACATATAATTATACGCTTTTAGAAATACAGCCAATATAACTAATATCAAAATGTAATTCTATGAAATAAAGAGTGTTCCAAAAGTAACTCAGAAGAGTTGGCAGCATTGTGCAGAATCACATGTTGTGGTAAACACATTGCGGTTAGACAAAATGGAGAGTATGTAGCTGAGACTGTGCGCAAATACGTGGAATTTTTGGTAGAAAGAACGCCTCGAATGAAACAACAGTGATTAGTTTCCACATTTGAACAAACAGTAAACAATACAACAAACAATAAAAAAAACAGGCCTGCCTCATACTGGCCGTTTAGCCGAAAATATTGCTACGGTGTGACAGAAATTCCCTTAACCTCAGCTCCCTGTCGGTCACTGCAAATAAACATTTTAAAAGGAACAATGTAATGAATTTTAATAAAATATTTACTTCTTTATCCATTCAAGATTCAGCTAACCCAGGAATTGAAACCAGACTGTCGGATTTGGGACAGAGACAATCCTCGGATCATTTAAGAACGACCAAAGAGTGCAAAAATACGCCTTTTGAAATTAAATGTATCAAAATAAAATTGAAATGAAGTTATCGACCACTTCTGAAAGATACTTTGAAAGAGTGCAGTTTCATGGTAATCCCAAAACGACTATTTGTTCGCAATCACTTGTTACTGTTGAATAAAATTTGNCTTAACGATTCGAGATGTATGGCCCACTTATGCAGAAAAAACTCTGAAACTGATGGATTAGTGGATAAATATATTCTGAAATTGGAATAAAATGTTAAGAGGAAACTGGATGCCAGAGCACTTGGATGAGGAATTACATTGTCTATGATCTTAAAGGGAATGGATATGCAAACAGAAGCATCAGGAGGTACCTAACCTAAGAACAAAGAAAAAAGGAATACAAAATCAATACAATCTAGAGTACCTACCTCAAGGAATATAGAAGTAGCCTCTCCCAACAAGAGTTGCATATTTCATTGTATATACAGCATTCCGCGTTTGGAACCGTTATAAATAAGTTTACGTTTTTAACTCAGGCAGAGCTGCGCGAGATTGAAAAATAACGCATTCGATTAGAGAAGGAATAAGACGTAGACACAGCAACTTGGGATAGAAGCGTATCTCATGCCGTGGCCAGTGTGCTTTTTTGGGCTGAGCATTCTCAGACGCAAACTTATTTGTATCAGAAAAGGGTAGGACTTCAAATATATTAGTTATTTCGTACTCATCTTCCCTTATTTCCCTTGTTTCAACTGTCTCTGCCAACGAATATGCGCATTAAAGGAAGTTAATGGACAACATAAAGGTTAAATATTTTCTCGCTTGGGTACAAAAGGGCCGACCATTACACGTGCCGAAATGTTACTTCGGATTAGGAGGAAAAATCCAGTTTGATGAATGATAGTTTTTTCCTGAAAAGAGATATTTCCCATTAAAATTTAGAATTATAGTTACAGTGGACATTTAGAGATCTTGGTAAGATGCGTACTGTTGGGAGTTTAAGTTTTATGTTAAAAACGAATTTAAAAGAATAACACAAGTATCAGTATAAATAACAACGTTTAGAAATAGCAGTTGTGGAACATGAGGCAGATACAACCCAAAAAAACAGGCTGATGCAAATAAAACATACAAGTATTATATTTATACTGTTGTCTTAATGTTTTATCAACAACTTCTAAACGTCCGCTAGAAAAGCTAACGTTTAGATGTCAATTCACTGTACATCATAAGACACTTTTCGCAATAAATGGTATAATTTATTTTAATATTTGCATAAACTGAATAAACTTAAATAAAAAAAACTTAACGTAAATTTTCTCATATATTTTATGAAATGCACTTATGGTGTAGACAATAATTTCAAACCATTCACTAGAACACCACGGACCAGTACACCAGCAAATATAAATACCGGGCAGAGGACTTAATCTCCAATTTCAGAGTTTGTTCTCAATAATTAAGGAGTCATGTCTTACAGAAAAAGATGAACAAGGAAGCCTAGTATGAACCAATTTAAATAGATTTTTCTTCCATTTTTAATATTCCTTACTGAATTATTTTTACCTACTATTTCTTAGTTAAGGAAATACTATAGGCCTTGCCTATAGTGGTTCCCGCTCTTTTTGTTCAAAAAATAAATAAATAAATATACCTATATACAAGGAAGCCTACTATAAACCAATTTAAATAGATTTTTCTTTCATTTTTAATATTCCTTACTGAATTATTTTTACCTACTATTTCTTAGTTAAGGAAATACTATAGGCCTCGCCTTTAGTGGTTCCCCCTCTTTTTGTTCAAAAAATAAATAAATAAATATACCTAAATTATAATGGAAAGTGATTTAAATTGGACGCCTATGACCGAAAATCCAAAGAGGAGTGGGTACTTACGTTATTTCGGCTAAACTAATTTTTTCGCCTTGACCCCGCTACACCTTCTTTGGAAAACGTCAAAATAAAAACAGAAATACATTTACATTGATGAAATAAATCGGCATTTACAAGAATTTGGCCGACCGTCATTCGAAAGGTATGGAGAAATTAGTCACAATGATTTAAGTTGGTGATGTTTAAATTACAGCCCACACATTAATATTTACTAATAATTATTGTCAGGTAAAGGATGTAGGATATAGTTCTTTCAATGGTTACTGATTTTTTATGGTATTCTATGAAAATGTTTTTATGAAATTAATGAAAATATAAATCATCAAAAAAATATTCAAGGATCTTTAAAAAATATTTATTTTCATTTATAGCCAGTTAGTCTTTATAATCTCACCAAGGGGCGCTTTGCTTTTATAATAAATAAATTTTATAACAGGCATAAACTTTAGCATCGATAAGAATAAATAAAACTTGACTGGGACACCCTGTATACATAATAATATATGCACTGTTTGTACTTATTTTTTTTTGTTTTCGACAATTATAATCGTTCTTTTGAATATCCCGCCATAAATAGTACTTTTATATTTTGTAGTTGGTATTAGATGGCAGTAGTGTGTCACTGATGCCAAAGTTGATGGAAGTATCAAACATTTTACCAGATATGAAGAAAAATAAACTTTAAATTAAAATTTAACCACCAGTGAACTGCATTTATTTAAAATATTTGTCATTTGTAATATAACCGACAAGGCTGAATAAACAATGGCAGATTTTATCGATTCCGAGGCCGAAGAAAGTAGCGAGGTAATCAGTTTCATAATGCTGCTACGAGTACTGTAAAAATTGGTATATCATAAAGTGAATGTTTTTGATACTAATGCGTACATGTAATCAATACTTTTTGACTAAACACAATAGTTTTATGTATTTTTAATTCAACGTACAATCTCGACATAACCTCTAAATTCATGCTTTGATTTCTCAGGAAGAGGAACTAGAACCCCATGAACGCAAAAAAGCCAAGGCCGCTGTACAAGACAGTTCCGAAGAAGAAGAGGATGGTAAATATATTTTTACACATCTTTTAATGTTATATTATTTTCAATTTGTTTACAGACGATGAAGAACGTCTACGTGAGGAATTAAAAGATCTTATCGATGACAACCCTATAGAGGAAAGTGATGCCGAATCAGACACATCTGGTAAATCATAAATTTATACTTAAATGTAGTCAACAATTAAAAATATTACTTTCTTCTATTATAGGTAGGGAAAAACGTAAAAAATCAGATGATGAGGACCTAGATGACCGATTAGAAGATGAAGATTATGATTTGCTTGAGGAAAATTTAGGAGTTAAAGTCGAAAGAAGGGTATTATATATATAGCAGCTGTATTTTTTAAAAATTCCTTCAAATTTGAATTTTAGAAATTTAAACGTCTACGAAGAATACAAGATGAAGAAAGTGAAGGTGAGGAAGAGCAGGATCCTGAACAGGAACGAGACCATATTGCTATGGATCTGTTTTCGGAAGATGTAAGTAAACAACTACTGTCTTCAGAATCGTTTTTAAATTACAGTGATTCACTTTACTCAGTATTTAACAGTTTCATATGATGAATCTGATCTATAGACACACACACAACATGTAAAAAATGAAAGTGCACTTTACTCGTGCAATATATTAAAATTTTCAAAAAAAATGCAATATCTGAATATCAAAATAAATGAATTTATATGAAATTTTATATACACAATCCATGAATAAAACTGCGTTTAACATGAAAAAATTCAATTTCAGCTGGTGTAGATTTGAAGTATAGTGGTTACATTTTTTATGTTGATTTAGTTTTTACTATTAAAAATTTGTAAGGATGATACTGAGGGTTCTTCTTCTTCATCTAGTGGTTGGTCCTTTAAAAGTCCCATAGCACTGTGGCCTAATTAGGCGTCCCACTACTAGTCTTATTCAGCAAGTAGATTTGTCCTTTTTACAAAGTCCAAAAGCTTCCTTGCTGACACTTCTCTCAGTTCCTTGGCTTCCAAATAGGGTCTCCCAAGGAGCGCCATTCTGCTACGTGCAAATCCTGTGCACTCGCCCAGGATATGCAGAGAAGTTTCATCCGCCGATTCACATCCTCGGCAGACCTCACTGTCTACAAGCTTTAGTTTATGTAGATGTTTCTTAAAGTGACAGTGTCCCGTTATGAGTCCTGTCACCCTCCTGAGCCGAATTCTGTTCAAGCTCAGTAGCTCATTCGCTCTTCCCTTCGAAGGATACTCCATACTGAGGGTTACTTTCAGTGTGCAGCAAAATAAAACGCTCTCTCAATGGTAAATAAAAGTATTTTTATTGAAAACAAAGTTTGTGAAAAAAACGTGTTGTCAGAGCGAGCGTTCGCTGGAGAGTCTGTCGTGTGTGGAGTCGTTTGCAGGTATGTGAGTAAGCATCTGGTCGCCGGCGCCAATTTGCCGTGAACCCTTCCTGGAACCCTGGTGCGTCCGGACGGTGTCAGGCCGTTGCTATTGACGTAGTACTTAAAGATGGGTCACTTGCAGACATGTGTACCCACAATACCTTTAGATAAAATTAAAACTATTTAAATGATTTTTTAAAGGTGCTTAAAATGACGTATGCTACAATACATGTTTCAAATTTAAAAAGGTAACAAATTTTTAAGAAAACTTTTTTGAAAATCATCGCATAACTCAAAAACGTCAAATGTTTATGGAAGGAAAAAGAAATATATTTAAATAACGATGAAAATGCTCGTTCATTTTTTACATGTGTTTCACGTATTTGTTAATATTGCAAATATGTATCCATTTTGTTTTATCAATTTTTATTGAAAGTTTTCTTATCCTCTTAAAAAATTAAAAGTTATGTTTCTCTATTAGAAGAAAGGGCTTGAAGTCGGGTTTAAATATATGTTTTTAGTGAATTTTATTATAGGTAGGTATAATTACTTCTAATACTTCAGTTTATTGATTTGGGAAAAATATATGTATATTTTTTCATTATATTGACCATCAATTATGCATTTTTAAAACTAGTCTTAATGACAGCTAATTTAATAATCATTTTTGCAAGCATTTACAACTGCCAACAAACTCAAATTCTTTTGAATTATTCAAAGTTCTCATTAAATATTTTTACTATACTATTCTTCGTCTGCAACTGTTTGTCATTAAATTTTATTTAATGAAATTGCTGGATCTAATTTTTGTCTAAAGTATTGACAACAGCAAACTGCTTTTTTTTCAAAAGGAGTAATAATAATTGTCTTTGCACATGAAAAAAATACGAACAAATCTATTTTCAAATTGTATATTTAAGTTTGCTTTATTGTTATGTTATGACAATTGAATAAAACGTACAAATTGTTATTTTGCTCTCCCAAAGGAAAAAGAAGAACAGGTACGAAGAAAGGTAAACTTATAACTTATAACTAAATGTTAGAAGATTGGTAGTTCATGGTATATGTACTACAGTTTACCAAAAAAATGAGAATTGGAATAAGTATTTATTTTCATGTGGATTGCATGCAATTTTTTAATTATTTTTCTGTCAGCTATAATACTGTCAAAAAAACACCTGCTCCTGCTTCTTGTGTCTAAACTTTTTACGGTCATCTACTTTATATTTCTGTATTTTCTGAAAACTTTATTTCTAGGATGACGAAAGACGATCGGAACGCAGTCACAGACCAGCTGTGGAACCCGAACAGTTCGGAGAGGAAGAAGAAGAAGGGGAATATTCAGATGCCGACGATTTTATTGTAGATGATGAGGGCCGTCCTATCGCAGAGAAACGAAAGAAGAAAAAGCCTATTTTCACTGATGCTGCTCTTCAAGAAGCTCAGGAGACATTTGGAGTCGATTTTGACTATGATGAATTCTCTAAGTATGAACAAGATGACTATGAAGAAGAGGAGGAGGAAGAGGAAGATGAATATGAAGAAGACGAAGATGGAGAAAGAAGGTAAGACATTTCATTTTTTTAAATATAATTTTACATATGTATCCTAATATACTGGGCACAAATTTTCGGTAAAAATGTTTAGGACCAGTTGTTCCAAATCTTCTCAACCTTTGAAACTAAAAAAAAATTAAATGACACCTGATTACTTTTTAATAATCTGAGTTGTTCATGATTAAAATATGTGTATTGATTTTTTGTGCAAATGTTTTGCAACATTTTAGTTTTGGTTTTTTCAATATGTTTGGTTTATACTAAGTCCAATCCGTAACGAAAAATCTCTGAATCTTGACATCTCCAATATTAATGATTCGTTTACAGTAATAAACCGTTATGCCTACGCTCGAGATAATGCGATCGCTGATTGGTTGAAAAGAATTTCATGAAAAATTACACCAATAACAATCGGTAAAAGAGAATGTTGTGTTTTAATGTAATCTTGATCTTATCGTTTTAATTTTACCGAAATTTCATTGCTAACATGAAACATGAAAATTACTGGTCGAAACAGAATTACTGGTCACATGGCTTGTAATCATTTATTTAGGCTCCGTTGTTCCTTCATCCATAATTTCACTGTCTAATTTGTCAACAATTGCAACATTTTCTGCATTTAAAAATGGAAATATTTTGTAATAGTATAATTTTTTTCTCAAAATCTAATGCATGATGCTCTTCTAATGTAGCATTTAAAAATAAAAAAAATTTCACGAAATAGCAGCCAATTGAAATCTACAATCCTTTTTTAATCTTAATTTCTGACCTTCTGGCTTGATAAAAAAATTAAATGAAAAAAAATCCAAAGTAGAAAATATTGTATCAAATTTTGGAAGCAATTGGTCAAGGTGTTTTGAATAGTATGTTTGGAGATACTGTGTTTGCAGATTGGCAAAGAATTGATGCGCTTGGGAACTTGGTCGCTCGTCAGCTTCTCTGTAAATCACCCATAACTTTTACAGTTCTTGAAATATCAAGATAAAATTTACAGATGATATTCTTTATATTCCAAACTTGGAGAAATTTTTTTTGAAAAAATCGATTTTTGTAAAAATTTACACTATTCTTACGACTACAAACTTTATGAGCGAAAAAACATTTTTTTCTGCTTTGATATTCCCCCTTATCTGAATAACTATCTAGAAACCAAGGTACAAGTATTTTTATATTTAACCAACTTCAGTACTGAAAGTTCTTTCACATTAAACGTCACTGAACATGAGTATTTGGGCCTTAACCAAACTTATTTCTATCCAAAGTTGCCGCTAGATTAGATCAAAGTTGGTAATAGTTTTAGATTATTTTTTCAAATAACTAAATTTTCTTTCGTGCATTTTTTGTACTTGTAGCGGTTTTCGTATAACTAATAATTTTTTATTAGTAATTAGCATCGCATTTGTCATGAAAAAATTTTATTTAATAACAAAATAGTGCTTTGAATTATCATTTTCAATTTTCTCACTTTATTTATAGAGACAAGATAGACAATTGTACATTGGATTTTCCACAATTTGCAAATTATGACATCTATTAATCTAATTTAACACTCCTCAAATAAGAACAGTTTTGAAATTATTTTATTTAGAGGAAATGAACTCGAAAAGATCGTTTTTTCTCTACAATACATTTAAGAATCAAATGGATTGATCAAATTTCCAGAATATTTATTTACAGCCGTCAAATTTATGGGGCTATTAATGACGGTGTCTCTCAGTCTAAGAATTACAAATCTTGACATACTTGTGTTGGGTTTTGGTGTTTGTACTGTTTATTTAATTTATCAAACTTTTTAAAAAACTTGTTTTACAATGTCTTAAACTTCCAATACTTAATCTACCTAATATGTCAACATTTATAGTTTTGCGATTTGACACCATGGTGTTGTAAGATGCCTATACTCCAGTGCCAAACAGTAGGCAGTGACTCGTTTTTCCAAACGATGTTAAAAATAAAACAACAAATAGATATGTCGATTTCGATAAGAACTAGTTTATCCTTACAAATTTATAGTTACCTTGGTATGTATTCATCAATTCTGTTCTCATATGTAAAGACGGCTTATTACAACTCATATACACTTTTTTTTATGGGACATAGCCAGTCTGTTTTTATTTGGCATTTATTTTTTGTGCAATTGCTAATAATTGTACTTTTAATATCGTATGTCTATTTTCAATATGTTCCGTTCAACTGTTATATTATTTCTCCTTTTTTCCCCATTGAAATTGGCAATTTTTGTGTTTGTCGACTATGGTAAGGTGCACTATTCATGACAATCACTGCATCAGGTTCGACGTGAAGTGAAATAGATGCAAACCATTTTTCAAATACTCCACTAACAAAATATCCCCATTCACTTCCGATATGTGTAATTATTATTCAGCCACAATCTCAGGCTCCCCTTTTGTATAATGATAAGCGAAGACAAAAATAGGTGCTTGTAACAATAAAATGTTACAAGTGTGTGCTTACTCAGGCTGAACATATTATCGGAACACTGCCAAACGAATGACAAAATTAATTTGTGAGATAAAATAGTAAAAATTATGGTTTAATTTGTTAATGACCGAATTTATGACTCTTCTGCACACTATTTTGACACTTAATTTAATTGTATACAAATTCATTGAATTTTTACCTATATTAAGATAGCAGTTGCTGAAAATTCATTAATCTGTGTCGGATATTCCTCAAAATATTTAAATATTGTGGAAATTTTTCAAAAACTTTTAGCTCTGTATCATGTTAACTCCTTCGTTTCGATATATGTGCATATAAACTTTTTGCCTTAAAGTAATTCAAAGAATGGACTTGAGAACCAACCTGTACAGCAATTTATTTGAAAGAAATATACAGGGTGTTTGGTAAGTCGATGCATTCCTTTCAGGAGATTATAGTACAAGTGATTTGTGATATATTTCCTTAATATACCATATTCCGAAAACGCTTAGTTTCCGATCTACAGGGTGTTAATGTTTTAATAAAAAAAATGCAAATTTAAAATTATTGCGGAAACCGCTCAGAATATTTTAATGAAATATTACAGGCTTTGACAGTTAACAACAATACACGTTTTACGATAAAAATATTGTTTTCAGTTTCACCAGTGGCGTGCGCACAAGCACGTCTCTGGATATTTTTAAAGAAAAAATGCTATGCCACTGATTTTTCTTAATATAAAAATTGTGCAATAAATCGATATTAATTTTTTTACTCGAAAACGGTGCATCATAAGAAAAACAGACAACATACCTTTTCTCTTCCAAATTGAACAAGGAATTCAAAAATAATTTTTATTTTAAGAAAAATCAGTGGCGTAAAATTTTTTTCTTTAAAAATATCCAGACGTGCCTGTACGCACGCCACTGGTGAAACTGAAAACAATATTTTTATCGTAAAACGTGTATTGTTGATACTTGTCAAAGCCTGTAAAATTTCATTAAAATATTCTGAGCGGTTTCCGCAATATTTTTAAATATGCATTTTTTAATTAAAACTTTAACACCCTGTAGATCGGAAACTAATCGTTTTCGGAATATGGTATATTAAGGAAATATATCACAATTCACTTGTACTGTAACCTCCTGCAAGGAATGCATCGGTTTACCAAACACCCTGTATGTACATAGAATTGTTACATATACTAAAGAAAAATCTTAAAAATAGTTCAACAAATGCAATTTTTTTTAGGAGGCGTCCTAAGAAAGCTGCCAAGAAAAAGCCTACCAAAAAGTCCATATTTGAGGTGTACGAGCCTAGTGAGCTCAAAAGAGGCTTCTTTACCGATCTCGACAATGAAATTCGTAACACTGATATACCGGAAAGAATGCAGATACGAGATGTGCCTATTACGGCGGTCCCTGATGACTCCACAGAATTGGACGATGAGGCTGAATGGATATACAAGCAAGCGTTTTGCAAACCAACGATATCTAATATGGACGCACATTTAACACCCGAGGCTAGAGAGAAATTAAAGAAGGGACCGCAGACTATTGGGAAAATTAGAAAGGCTTTGGATTTTATGAGAAATCAACAATTGGAAGTTCCATTTATTGCATTTTATAGGAAGGAATATGTACAACCAGAACTAAATATAAATGATTTGTGGAAAGTTTACAAATATGACGCCAAGGTAAGTTAAGTATTACTTGTTAGTATTTACGTTCCATAATTCAGTGCAAAATATTAAGAAAAAAAGTAAATTGTATTTCAAAAAACATACTATATATCCTGTGAATAACAAAATTTAAAAAATAAGATTTGCTATGAACTATGGACCTGTCGTCTTTGGTTTTCAAAATAGAAAACATTAAAGTTATTTATTTATTTTTTAATGAATTATGCCATTGATGCTGAATTTTGATGGGCATATGTTTTGAGAGACCATAAATAGTCTACAATAACCTATACAAGCTATCCTGGCACAAATTACAAACACGTCTGGAATGTTTATCTACGGAAAAGGTAATTCTGCCCAAATCAGATTGTTTAATTTCTCTCAGTTTTTCAATGATAAAATAAACTTTTTTTAATTGCTCCCGGAAAGTGATATCCAAATGATTCAAGTCCAGGGATCATATTAGCTAATTTATTGGTACATTTGCTCAGCATCCAATACAATGATTTGGAAAGTGTTTGTATAACTGTCACCTTACTAATCTACTGTAAAGGGGTCCCTCGTTATGTATACCGTGTAATTTTTTTTAACCTGAAACTTTCAAATATCTATAAATAAATAATACGAAAAAATGACGACGATGAAAATTTAATTATTCCACAGAGGAAATACATTAGTTCTTAAATTACTTTAAAATCTTAAACAGGAACTCCTATTTTTTATTATTGCAGATTCAGATTCTACGGCTAAAAGTACGCATTATTTGTCTGAAACATTTTTTTCACTTCATGATAGATACAGCACTATTTTATAAAAAGCGTTCGTACAACAAAATCGGAAACTATTTCAAAATCAGCTTTGAAAATCAATCTCAAGATAAACATTACTGTACTGTTTTGTAAATTAAATATGTATTTAGGTTAGATACAAACAAAAATAACCAGATAGCACTGATGGCAGCAACAGCTGTAATTAGCACTCGCAGAGCATAAAATTTATAACCAATTCCAAAATAATCCGAAACCGCACATGCACAGATAAAAATTTACAATCTGTTGGAAATTGTCTTGTGTGAACAAAGCTAAAATTTTGTAAAAACCTAACCTCAAATGTTTTTTATGACGGCAACCTCAGAGAAATACCCGTTTCTACAACACTGGGTTTACTCGAATGATTGTAATTACGTACGGATATGTGTATTGGTAGTAAATGAATTTTTGCTAAATATCATTTTTCAAGTTTACTGTAGTAGAAATTGTAATAAGAAAACTGAGTTGGCAAGTACCATTTTAACACCCTGTATGTAGGAGATAGAAGCAACTAAGACAAAACATTTAGGTTTCCTCTTATTTTGACTTGCTTAGTCCTCTTAAAATTGTGCCTATAAATTTATATATTAATTTAAAAATTATATACTTAACGTCCAAAAGATCTATAGTTCATAGAGAAAATGGACTTATTCTTTAATACTCCATTATTTTGGAAAGGCACTATATATAACATTTTTTTAGTGGTGTCAGTTGAAAATACGCAAAGAAAACCTCCTCCAACTGTTCGAGAAGATGCGTTCCTACCAGCTTGATCAGCTGATGAAAGATCCGGATGCTCCTATTCCCGACAATGTTCGTGTCATGAAGGATTCCGATATCGAAAGATTGAAAAATGTTCAGACTGCCGATGAACTGAATGATGTGCACAACCATTTCATTCTTTATTATTCCGCTGACTTACCCGCAATGCATGCCGCATGGAGGATTAAGGAGAAAGAGAGAAAGAAACAAGAGAAAAGGGATGCAAGGTAATTTACGACATTCAGTCAGACTCTTACAAAGTTATCTTATAGCAATCGCCACGCATTTTGAGAATATTTATTTATTTATATAATAGTCTCTTTTTTTTCAAGGTTGGCATGATATACAGGGCTGGAAAATCCACATGGTCCATCTGCCTTTACATGAGAGCGACAAAGTAAAGTAAAGAAATCCGTGCGATAGACAAGGATGGCTATAGTGAAGATGTTTCATAATCTGAATAGTCACCGCCTGTTTCGGGTTAGAAGTGGGACTGACTATTCAGATTATGAAACGTCTTCAATGGAACCATCCTTGTCTATCGCACGGATTTCTATGACTTACTTTATCGCTCTCACGTAACGG